CATAAGTTGGAAGCAATGACAAGGTCTCCATGGTGATGATTAGTGACAGCTGATTCATTTATGCAGGTTATTTGAGATAACCAATATGTGATGTGTGTGGGTACTAATCTACTCCCCTAAGCAGCAGCAGAAAATCTAGCATTCTGCTACTCATAAGGATGCACGAAATACTTGCAAATGTTCTCATCCTTGATTTAAAAAGTGTCTTTACCCATCAAGCTACTGTTTAAAGAAAAATTCTGCAATATTTTTCACTGAGAGAGGAAAAAAAGTATTTCTTGCATAAAAAACCCTGTATTCTGCATAATAAACGTATTTTGTGCAAAACTCAAAACTTCTGGGTTTTTTGGAAGGGCTGGGGTGGCAAAAAAGTACCAAAATGTGAAAATACACAAAAACCCTTCCTACTTTCAGATTCCAACCTTACAAATTGTTATTCTTTTGAAAATTTAATTTATGATATTTTGGCTGAAATCTTGTTGCTTAGCATAGCAAGATATAACTGAGAAGGGCCACTGAATCAGTGGGAATTCAAGGAGTTGACTCCTCTGTCAGTTTCACTAATTCACTGGACCTACTCTAGCTGCAACTTGCTAAGCAATAGAATTTCAGCCTCTGTTAAAAAATTATAGAAAGGTCTAGCAGGAGCTACTACCAAAAACAAGTTTAACTTATAATATTTACAGCACAATATCATTTTAATATAAATGTATAATTTATATTGTATCAATTTATCACTTACAATATTTATATCTGTGAAACCAGGGATGGCCAAACTACCAGCATTTCACCGCAGTGTCTCGGCTGGCTAGAATTGATGGGGGCTGTATTCCAACAACATACAGGTCATACTTTGTCCATGCCTGTGATTGCTAAACAGATATTTAGCTTAACCAAAACAAACAAACAAACAAACAATTGTGTACTGATCTTAAAAGCTGTTAGCCATGGAACTGGTAAATATTCAAAGAATACCATATTAAACAGAAAGGCAGGGCAAAGCTAGGACCCTTTGGTATGCCTAACTGACTTCCTTTGCCTTTCCATTTAAGGAAAGGTATTCTTTGAATGCTTACCTGTTCCACACATACAGTATTTAGCTGTTAGATTCTATTTAAAAGTACAGTCATTTTAAATATATAAGCCAGTCACAAGCAAAATAATTTAAAATAAAAAAATAACAAATAAAAAGTTTTAAATATTATGGAAAAATACACAGCTAGGTTTGTTTGCTGGACATACAACAACCTTCAGTGTTATAAATGAAGTCAAATATTATACATTATTATTGAATTTATTAATGAATTACTTAATTTCCCTGCTTAAAAGTATCATGAAACACATAGCAGAACATGAGAATGACAGGACTCCCACTGAAGTAAGACTCGTGACTCCTATTATTGCTGACACACTAGAAAGAAGTGGTGATTTATCTTTTTGTGTCTGTGACATTCACTGCTAAACTATTCCTAGCAAATTTAAGAAAGAACCAGCTAGTGCCTCGGTTACATCAGTAGTTGATACATATGAATCAATAGATGATAAATGGGTGCTTAAGAAGCAATGGGGTAAATATTAAAAAATTTACATACAAAGTTGAATTATAAATGTTCTAATATTATCTGGAAATATGAATAAGTACAAAGCATATTGATTTTATTTTTGCATAATTAATATGTTATCATGGTGAATTTGGGCCCCAAGGCTTGTAATATGGTTATGCTTAAATCAGAGACCAGGGCAAAGTAATTGGAAGGTCATTAATAGAGGGTGCATGTTGTGTTCTCTCAAAGTCCAAACTCTGCTGGATGTTAATTGATTAAGTTTACAAAAGTTTACACTCAAAGCTATTTTGAATGGAACTTTCTGAAGTTTTTAATTAAAGAGTTTTCTGGAAGTCAATTTAATTTCTCTCTCTTAGGGTCCACACATTTTTGTTATTATTTTAAAAGCTTGGTTGTTACTTTGTTCTTTTGTTAAAAGTAAGTCATTAAAGTAAAAATTAAAAGACAAAATGAAAACCCATAGTGCATAGAAAATCCAGCTAGTGTTCAATAGAACATCTTAAGACACAGGCTGCTCAGCAAGTGGTGGATTCGCCATACACGATGGTTCCCGAAGCTTAGAATCTTTATAAGCCCTAAAGAACAGGATAAAAAGTATATTTTTAGGTAAGCGTCACCACATTTATGGAATAATTAGGAAGTCAAATTATTGGACAAAGATCCTTGAGGTGTTGGAAGTCCTAATTAACACTGCTTTATTGGGGGGAGGGAACCTTGTTGAGTTTGCAAGTCAAAAAGCTTATAAAAGCCCACATAGTTTCCATGATTAACTGACTTACAGCTGGATTTTAAACAATATAATTTTAAAGCAGTCTGGATTTGATGGGTGAGGGACCCCAATTGAGTAGGCCACTATGGTTACTTCAGTGATGATCTAAAATGAACTTATATAAGTTTTGTTTTTGAAGAAAAGCAAAGTGGCAAACTATGTACTGGCTTAACAATTCTGAACCATGGACTCCTCCTCTGGATACACTGTGCATAGCAAAATATGCCTTTCTGACAACTTGGAAAATGTGTGACTTTCTAGATGCCAGACTGTAATCCCCATCAGCTCTCAATAATGTCTGTGCTGGTTAGGGCTAATGGGACCCACACAATACAATCAATGGAGAAGGATAATGGGTGTTGCAGTCCAACATCATGTGAAGGGCCAACTGTAGCCATCCTAGCTCTGAATAAAAGATGCACTGAGCACAACTGATGGCTGCTGAATGATCCCAAAGGAATATGTAAAAGCAAGAGGAGGGCTTCATATATAAAATGCAGCTTTTATGCAGATACCTCCTTTTCCAACTGGGACATGTCAAGGTTGACATATGCGCACTTTGTGGCATGAGAACATCCTTCTCCTTTCCAGAAAGATTACTGCAACATCCAAATCCTGATTAGGAAAGCTGAAGTTTTATGACCTGTAGAGCTTGTGTGCATTAAATTTCATACTTGCTTGTTTTGTATAATTTATTTTGCAATAGATATGGATATGAATTGTCAGGAAGCTAACATCTAATTGCTAAGGCCAGAAGGACCACTTTTGGTCTGCTTCAGACGTAACCATCTTAGGTCAATAAATGACCATTTATATTGCTGAACAGGAATTTCCCTCCAACTTCACCCTCTTCTGTCTCCTCCTCATATGCTGCCTTTTGTGCTTTTATTGTGTTTAAATCCATTGATTAATTGATCAGGAAGCTGGTTTAATAGTAGTTTTTTGTGCAGAGGATCTTTATCTCATCTCACCATTTTGGCACATATCATTTTATCTCTCCCTACAATTGGCTGAAGTGATGCATTCCTGGGTTAAGTTTGGAAGAATGAATAATATACAATGAAAAAACAGATGCAAATCTTTATGGTTTTCACAAATCGTTTGGGCTTCAATAGAACCCAGAATAAGAATCATGGTTATTTTTACAGAATAGGAATCATTGTGGTAGCCTCTGTGTCAGAGAGGAAAAGGTATTCAGATTATTCTAATTTGCTTTTTCTTGCCACTTCGGCCTTCACAAGCAGAAGAGAAGCGGACTTTAGAAACTGACACGTTTCTTCTTTTACTCTAGCCACACATCTAGAGTACAGAGTTCACACTAAATAAGTGACTGAGTACATTCTTGCCACATGTTCATACGTGGGGCCATTCTCCGCCAAACTCATAGCGTAACGTGATCCACTTCCTTCTTCTCAGCTCTTCATATTGAGAAAAGCCCTTTATTTATTCTCACAATGTAGACTCCCTCATGCTACCTTGCCAGTGCACATCAACTGTGACCTTGAGACACCTTCCTCTCCAGGGATAAGGATGTTTTTCAGTCTCTGGCATCTTCAGGGTAAAGAATGACAATGTGAAAGAAAGAAAGAAAGAAAGAAAGAAAGAAAGAAAGAAAGAAAGAAAGAAAGAAAGAAAGAAAGAAAGAAAGAAAGAAAGAAAGAAAGAAAGAAAGAAAGAAAGAAAGAAAGAGGAGAAAAAACAAAATAGAAAACCCAATTTCTGAAGAGGATGACTTACTGTCATGAAAAGATAAAACAGGAACTTAATACTGACCTAAAATACACATGGAGAGGATTGCTGTAGCTCATTTTATTAGAGCTATGAAGGGGGAGCATACAGTAAATTTTAAATTTACCAGCATGGTTCATTCTTTATTGTCTTACCTTGGTAGAATAACTGCACTACAATCAACACCTGGTCTTCCTTTTTTACCTTTTCTGTAGACTGCTATTCTTCTGACCTGAATGCTACTCACCTATTTTTTAATGCCAGCCAACGTAACGTCATTACACCATCATTTATTGGCTCCAAATATCTTAGTATACATATTCTACTTCTGAATTACTTCGCACTCACCATCCTCACGCTTGCAAAATACTCCCATGGTGTACTGTACAATCACAATTACGCTTATACTGTATGCCTACAACATACTAGCCTGGACTCCCTTGAGATATTCTAGATACGAAGACTGAAGGGTATGCTTGGTAAGATAATATCAAGGATGATATATATTAATTAACATCAGAAGCTACTTCTGTTAAGGATCTATGCCAGAAAAGGCATAAAATAAGGTTCCAGTACAGTACCACTGTGCAGTACCAAAGACATCCTTCCTAGTATGAAGACTAATACCAGAGTAAGAAAAAATATTTTATCAAACACCCCAAATTGTCTGGGTTGCTGTTAAAAGGCTTAACAATATTAACATAAGACAACAATGTATACTTTGTTTTTCAGAAACAAATAAGGAAGGCATGAAAACTTTTGCCTTTCTCCTTGAATATCACATTTATTTCTGTCACAAAACCTTCATCTCAGTTCAAAGGATAAAAGTACTCAAATTTAAAGAAATGGTATTACAAAAGAATCTATGTCTGAGTACATGTAAATTCCATACATGATTATATTCTTTAAAAACTGGAGACCTACTTGTACAAGCGACTCAAATGTTTTTACATTAAAAAGAAAACAAGTATCAAGGGAGACTTGTTCTCTCTCACCAGGCCTGCCAGTCAAACTCGTGGGATTGCATCTGTGACAAACTGAAGACATCATAATATTATCTAAGGTAGAAGAATGACATCTGTGCAGAGTGGCTAGACTCCAACAGTCTTTGGCAGGAAAATAAATCAGGACAGAAAGGAGAACTCTCTTGTAGCTTCCCTTCCTGTTTCTCAGAATCAAGCACACCTCATGAAGCAGGGAGAGGAGCTGCCTGAAGCAATACTTGTGCTGACACACATTCTGCCGTTCCGTGAGATCGACAAGCACAGAGGGGACATGCTTCCTCTCTGGACACTCCTGTCAAATATGTGAACCAGCTCTAAGCCTATTTGTTTTTGTCAACTATGTCCCCTATGAATTTCCCATTTAGAAAACCCTTTTCAAAAGCTTGCACATACTGTATGCTAAACAGAAGTGCCACTAAACAGGTGGGCTTATTAAAAGACTGCCTGAAACACACAACATGGGTGTGGTTTTTGAGCTGCCAACGTGCACCCTTACAACTCTTCCCCTCCACCAATATTCAGTCTCAGCACAGAAACTGTAGAAAACCATCAGCCCTTATTTATTCTTGCATACATCAATCCCTTGTTGTCAAAGCAAAGACAGCCTCTTTACGGAATGGAAGAGGCAAGCTCTCTGCTTTTTGGTAAACCCAGTCTCAACTGCATTGTTGTTTTGTTTTCCACAACATAATTTGGGGATGGGTGGGTCAAAGCCCTATCTTGAGCAAACACCCAATTGCCAAGTTGCCTTTCATCAGATCAGCAACTAGGGCTCTGTTTTGATTTCTTCTTTCTTTGTTTTATAAGAAACAAATTGTCCTCTTCTGTGCGACTATTGCTTGTGTAGTTTCTCCGCTTCTTCTTTTTCTTCTGTTTTTTTGGTGCCTCCGGAGGAGCCTGAAGGGTTTCCATTTTGCCCCCGATGATTTGGAGGCCAGGCTTACGGCATTTTCTGGCCTTTCTGCTCTTTTCCACACGACCACCTCTTGGAAAGTCCTCTTCTATGGTATAGTCTCCCTGGGCCTCCTTCTTATGTTTCCTTCTAAGTGTGTCTCTCTGCAACTTCTTCTTGGGCTTTATAGAGCACTTATCTCTTTTCTTGTCATGTTCCTTCAACATTCTCCTCTTTTTCATATGGCTGTACTGTCTCTGGTCATTGTCCATACGTGGCCTCTTTAGCACCAGGCCAGCTTCCTCAAGCTCTGCAAAACCAAGACACTTGAAACTAGTAAAAGAGCCAAACTACACTGGCAAATGAATAATCTACCACAGCATACAAATGAAGAACCTAAAAGCACAGGCTGCACCTTATTAAGCAAGTCCATGAAAAATAGACCCTTTGTATATTTCATTCATTATATAAATATTCCAATAATAATGAGTCACAGGTGCATCTGTGAATTCATATTATGTGCCTCCTGCCCTTTATAATGCTAGTCTTGTACATTCAATCTTAGGGGTATCTGAGAGCACCAACAGTTGAATCTCTTAGCAAATTACCAGGAAAAGTGTAAGATTTCTCTCTCTCTCTCTCTCTCTCTCTCTCTCACACACACACACACACACACACACACACACACACAGAGGGTCTTGCAATATTTGCAAAGTGGAAGCAAAGGTTTCAAAAATCATTATGATTTATCAGCACCATGTCCACTAAATGGGTGGTGTATAAATCTAAACAAATTAGTAAAAATTACAGTTCGTAAAAATGCCAACACTGAATGAAGAATACATTTTTAGAGAGAGGTTTCCAAAAGTGTATGCATGCTCACAAGCAGCTTTACCTCAGAAATAAAACACTAGTTAAGACTGCAGGATATTTTATCTAAACACACCTGAGATACTGAAGCGGGTTGAAAAAAATTCCAATTTCTTTGTAAAGATCAAATGCCACCCTACATGCTGAATATATCATCCCATCATTCTAAAGTGTTTTCCCCAATAATTAATGCACTTATTAAGTTAGAATTTCAGGCTGATGAGACCATCTAGCCAGAAGATAAATGGAACTTCTTTTGTAACAGGCTTGTAACAGTACCCCTTATTATTTAGCTTAAGTCAAAAAGTCATAAATGTAACAGCAGTCAAGTTAGAGATGAAAACAACAACAACAACAACAACAACAACAACAACAACAACAACAACAATCAGCAAGACGTGGGCTTAGGAAAACCCACACATGTATTCATACCTTGTACTTTCTTCTTTCCTCTTTGAGAATTTCTCTTCATGTCATATTCACTATCATAGTAATAGATGAAGGGGAAAGTAGGAAAGGTCTCTCCAAACATCCGCTTTTTTGTGCACTCCTGCAAGTCATATTTTAATGTTATTTTCACACATTTTATGGACCCACTGCCTTCAATAATTCAAATTCTATCTAATGAAACAAACCAGATAAATTGTACCAATTACTTTTTGCCCTTCTAAAATAAAATTGCTGTTGCTAACTGGCACTAACTAAATATCTGTGTGAAACCAGAAATGCCTGGTCTATACAAGAAAATACATTTTAATGATTCCCCTGGAGTCCCTTTTCACTATCACTACGCACATGTTTAAGTAACTATGGGGGTTAACACTTTACAAGTGTCCCTAGCAGAGGAAAAAAACAGGACTCTTCTTCAGTGTTGTGGTCTCTGAGGATGCAGCTGGCTGCTTCCAAGAGATTGAGTGTGTCAGGAGGAAAGTTCTAGGTGGTGAATCATGAGCAAAGTGAAATATTATGCACACTGAAGTTGCCTTCAGATCAACTGACCCAAAATTGCTTTCATAATATGGCTTTACACTCGTAACCAATGCTCTTAAATTTTTATTCTTCACAAATGTATTTAATGAAAGAGTGATTTAAAGTGTTGCCTCTCTCATCTGGAAGAGTTCTCAAGTTATGTTGGATCAGTGTTCCAAGCTAGACGTTACGATTCTTCAGTTTTTATCAATAATTTTCAAATCTGTGAAGCTTAAGGATGTGGAGAGACTTTCCAAATCCCTGAGGCCTGAGAATGTTAACAGAAGTGTGAGACTGAAAGCAGAGTACTTGATTCTTGCCCTTCCTGGCTGACCATAATGACCAAAAAATGTGACTTATTATGAAAGCATTTGTAATAGCAAAAAAAAATAAGCAATGACAATATGGTGAATGTCAGGGCTGTTCAAAATCTGACAAAGATGTCATTTCAGCTTTGCCTATATTGACTGGAATCGCAGACTCCACCTGAATAGTCACATTGATTTGGAACCCCTTAGACACACAAAGCATTCCGACAAGAAAATATTAGCCTTTTCCTTGCTCACATTTCAGCTTCTCTGGGTAAATACTGTCACAGGTTGCCATCTTCCTTGGATATCTGTTGCCTCTTGAATGCGGAGATGGCTGCCGTCAAAGCTGCTTCAAGCTAAGTATTATAAAACCGCACAAAATGTTCTTCCTTGCCCTTAAGGCATTAGCTGTAACAGATGCAGATGAAACTTGTTCTCCCTCTATGGAGGTATGAAAATCCTATCTGTTCCTCTTGGTTTGCAAATTATTTTATTGTCTGGTGGGCGTGTTTTATTCAATTTTGAGCATTTAAAAAACCAGGCAGCTTATTCTTAACTATTTTTAAAAATTATTATTTCCTGAGGCCAGCCTTCACAATCTATGCTTCTAGTGAGAGCATCAAACTTCAGCATGATTTATCAGACTCTGCTACTTAGCCTTCTAAATGATCTGAGTGGGAAAGAAAGTTTTCCTCTGCAAACAACTCCTTTCCAAATGTAGACTCAATGTTCTGTACTCTTGATATGTCGACTCTTTTATGTAAAGGGAAAAGTTATGCTTTTCGTAATGAAAGGTGCAGCTTTTACTGCAAACAGCATTTTAAATGTTTTGATCTTTTTTTAAAAAAACTGGAAAATGGCTTGAATATTATATGTATCTATAAAGAAGAATTGCTAATTATTTCTCATCTGTGTGGGCAAATATTTTTTTTCCAAGTCCATCCTAATAATTTTATACAAGACTATGTGAAGAAGGCTGGGTATTATTTGATGGCTGTGGAACACACTCCCTCAAGATCTTCTTGGAGATGCTGCATAAAGTCTAGAATTTATGCAGGAGGCAGATGGTCTTTTCCCCTTCAATACGTTGACAGTAAAGCCCTAGCGGGTGAAAAGCACAAACCTCTAACAGCAGGCACTCCTATTTCCTCTTTTTAACATCACTGCATTGAACCATCACCTCCATGCTGTATGACATGCACTTTCTCAGACCCTCTTTCAAGTGACCTGCCACTACTGCCACATGCTTTGTACTGTTAAATACTCTGGGGATGCTCTTTTGCTCCACAGGTAACACACAGAGGATGGAAAGCTCAGCCTGTTACCAACCCACCTGAGAAACACTATATCTGATTGACAGCTTAGAGTGCAAGACATTTTTGCAGATCCTCTCTTTTCTACAGCCTTGCGGCTTGCTGTGGACACAAAATCTGAATTCTAGAATATGCTCTGTACAGTTTTGATAAGGATGGTAACTCTTCAAATTTAGAACCTGACTGCTGGGCCACATTCATAAGATGTTCTGAAAAAATAACGCTGCTGAACATCTGTCTCTCTGACTTGTCTTTGGTATCCTTTAGTTGGTTTACGGCTCTTGCTTTTGTTAACCCTACAGTACATTGTATTGAAGGTCTCCCTCTCTTCTCACTGGTCCTCTAGTTGTTTCTAACCAACACATTTTTAAGAGCCTTGTACACTGCATTTATAGATCTTCTTGTTCATGCATTAATGATAAAATAGAGAGGTTTGGACAACACTTCAGAGTGTACATTCCTTGATAGTAAGTGAAGAATCCAGATCAAATCCTGCTCCATGGTTACTGAAAATAATGGCAGTAATAGCGAAGTGGGATCCTTTGATGGGGAAAAGTTGATCCACATTATGCAATTCACAATGAGACACAAAATTCTAAGCCTCTATTGGTTCTGGTGAGCCATTAATGACAGCAATCTGGCAGAGCAGACCTTCTGTCTATCACAATGTGATTCGCATGAGATATCTCTTCATTGGACTATGTCCATAAACTTTAGCATATGGAAAATCTGCCTCAAACACTGTCAGCTGCTGAACCACTCAAAATCAAGTTACAGTATCTACTTTAAATTTGGATACAAAATTAATTGTCAGTACGCCTATCATGTGGCTACAGATTCGTTATGCTCCTTCGTACCAGATGATACCACCTGCCCGGCCTGATCTCTAATAGCACAGACTACCAGATGATAGTGGCAGCTAAAACTGCTACTTGATATCATAGTTTTGAGAAAAAAAAATGAACTTGCTAAATCTCTGAAATCACTGGCAATTTAGAATATTTTCAAAGTTTATTCCTATCACAAATCCAAATTGTGCCACAAACCTGCAAAGCTGACACTTGGGGTGCCATATGCGACACAGACGGTCTAGATATTTCTAAGAAGTAAATGTCATTAGATTGTGCTGCAAGTACTGTATGTCGCAAATTATTCTATAATGTTCAATGTAAATCTATAAGATTCCACATCATTTTTAGACAAATTTAAATTCTGAAATCATATTTAAAATATGCCAGCATAATCATGGACATTGCACTTAGAATATAAGAAGGCTGCTTCATATAGTCCAATACTGACATTTTTTATCTCAAATTATGGAAGATTATCATGAAAATAAATAAAAAAGCAATAAACTAATTCAGTTGACAGGTTCACAGAAGTGTGTGTGTGAGAGAACTTTATTACGGTCAAAGACCAGTAAATTCACAGAAGTGAAATTACTCAGAGCATAATTTTGAGATCTCTAAGAAAATATGAGGTTGCGTTTTTTTAAAACTGAAGATAAAACACTTTAATGTGCTGTAACACTGGGATATTCTACTGTGTTTCAGCTACAAGCACTATTTCTTCAGTCCTCAGTAGTTTGGGAAATGATAAAGCTAGCCTGTGTGGCTGGTCTGTCCTATCAGTACCGGGTCTGCATCTGGCAAAACATATTAGAGATCAGAAGCCAATCACTTCTTACAATTTCTTTTTCCAACAAGAACTCAACAAGATCTATGTGCTGTTAGTATAGCTATATGTACTGGTATACTGAGGTTGATCATCTACTGTTTTCCAACGCAGATATGCAGAGAGAGGCCATATGAGGTATTGCGTCAAATCTGAACCATATAATAAACCAGTGGTTCCCAACCTTGAGTCTCCAGATGCTCTTGGACGACAGCTTCTGGAAATCCTGGCCAGCACAGCTAGTGGCGAAGGCTTCTGAGAGTTCTAGTCCAAGAACATCTGGGGACCCACGGTTGGGAACCACTGTAATAAGGCCTACATGTTCTTAAAATTAGGATTGGGGTAGTAGTATTACACAACAATTCTACATGTGCTTTTAAGAAATAAGCCTCAATGAATTCAGAAGAGACTGTACCCAGTAGACTTGTGCAGAATGACACTGTTAATGTATAAGGAATCCCTTTTGTTTTAGAAATACTTTTTCTCCCTCATCTATCAGAGAAAGCCCAATTCATATACATTTGAAACAAAACTTCAGACGTTTCAGACAACACTTCTTGGTAATCTCAATCTCAACCAAAGATGGAAAATATACTTTTTTGAATTTACAGCTTTTAAAATATGCTGAGCAGCACAACCCAACCACTGACTTATGTTGGCCAGGGCATTTTTGGGAATATAATCCCAAAAAACAGTAACTTTCTTCCCCTTTGAGTTTAATCTGGTATCTGATCTTAGATAATGTCAGCTGTGGAAAGTTCAAACAAATGCTATCCTGTCACGCATCTTAATGACAATTACCTATGAAAAATCTTAGGCAGGCCACAATTTATTTGTAAAATTCCTTAAACTGTTTTTGAACTGCTAAATTTAGACTGACTTCAAATTACTTCATAAGCTTCCAAACAACCGAATCCTGTACTGTATGTGTTTGATGTTTTTCTCTTAATATAATACTTTAAATAATGTAAGAAAGTACTGAAACTTACATATCCATAATGGCCTTTCTGTGCACAGTTGTAACAGTACACCAAAGGAGACTGGTAAGAACTAGCCTTTTTCAGTGGTCCTGGCTTGGTCTGTAACAAAAAACAAAAAACAAAAACAAAAAAGGCAGTAATTAAGCTTGTATTCAAAATATGCATAATACAATCAAATTAATTTAGCTGTCCCTCCCAATTAATAACAGTACAATGAGAGGTCGCACAATTTAAATAAATCTGAGTTTAAATCCTATCAGGCTTGCTTGGTGTGAAGACAATCTCAATATATTCAATGGGTTTTACTGCCAATCAAACATAGTTTTAAATAATAAACATAATTGCATAGATTTGCATAAAAATACAAACTGTTCTGATCAATGCATATTTCGTTGCAAATGTGTGTGGCAACAGGCACTGCTTTTAAAAGAGATATTCTTTTGTGCATGAAAAGCAGAGGAATATCAATTCTAAAGACATCACTCATCTCCTGTACTTACTAATTACTACATGAACTCATACAAGTCTCATTTTAATATATCTGCAACTCTTTTTAAAAACATGCCTTACCCTACGATATGTGATTATTCTCTCTCTCCACCACTCAACTATTCTTGAAAGAATCTTAAAGACCTAGTCATTCCAGGCTGCTTTTAATTGAATTGAGGCCTATTTTTAAAATAATGCAAATTTTTATGTTATTGTTGTGGCTATTTTAAATTTTTTATGTTATTTTAATTAACCATGTTTTGTTGCTTGATGTTTTTTTCTTTGTAAACTGCATTGAGGAGACTGTTCCTCATAAAGGAATGCAGAATTCTTTTTAAAAAACATAATAATTAAAATCTCATAATACTTTGATTTGTAATACCTTGTGAAAGTGACTATATATGCAGCATCCAAACCCTATAGTTCAAGGTACCTGCCTCACAATACCTTAGAACAGTACCAGCTAGCATAGATGTTCTATATTGAGGGCAAGTATGAGATGGATCGAGTAGACCAAAATAGCAGCTGCTTCAGAGCTGTTTATTTCAACAAACCTAATAATGATCAGCTGTAAAAAATATGGCAAAAAAAGGATTTCATAATGACATAATAGTACACGACTACCTGAAAGTAGAAACAATGGGTGCCTGCTTTTCTATTCTACATGTCTCATAAAAATCCTTAAGGATGCAAGAAAAATATGTTCCCATGACATCAAAAGATGTCTGCAAGGCACCTCCTTTTGTTTATGTAATTGAAAAGGTCAGATTTAAGGATACAAATTAAATTGAATACTTGTTATTCAGATTAAGTATGCATATCTCCCTACAGCTGTCCAAAAGACAGAAAGGAGGGGGGAACCAATATGATGTCAAGCTCACTATATTCTCATTATTTCAGGTTTTAAAAGGCATTTAAGGTCTCTGATCCAGTGGGTACAAAATGAAGCATTCACGATAGTAGCTGCACTGTGCTGTAGGATTTTTTGTGACAAACATTTAAATAATCTATATTTTGTAGGGTGATATCTTGAAGATTACTTCACTATCAATATATAGAAGTAATAACCCAGCAGATAGCATTACCTCTGAAAGGTCCATCCTATCTTCTATTCTTGCTGAAAGCTTTTCATGCACCAGTAAACTCAGTAAATATCAGAAGATAAAGCATAAGCCTACCACGCCACGGATTTACTCCTAATGTCTCCTCAAAGTGCAGCCCCCGATGCAACGATTACAAATGATTTTCTTCTAATGTCATTTTACATAACCCTTTTTTTCTGCATGAGTAGTTAGTGTGGAATGAGTGAATGAATGAATGAATGCCATTAAAACAGTTAATCATTATCTGGGACACTGGCCTTCCTCCCTTCCCAGCAAGGAATCTCCATGACAAAGGCCAAGAGATCAAAATGCCAGGGCTCCCTCCATGGCCTATTTCTGTCAGTAATTTTTTATGCAAATAGGACTGCTGGGCAGCTCCCTCTGTGACCTTGAGATGCCCTTATCTTAAACTGACTTTGATCCAGTGAGGCCTTTGCTTTTATGAAGCTCATTACTTCTTACGATATGCATCTAACTGAAATTTCACTAATTAAAAGAAATTGCCTATTCATATTTTTTCCCCTGTTCTATCTTTCAACTACACACATATGCATGAAAAAAACACCCCAATATGATGTGAAATAAGCACTACCCTCTACCTGCTATTTTACTTCAGGAAAAATTCTCAGGAATGCTTAATTTATTAATTGCACTTAACCTTCTGCTCTTATATGATGCTCCCAAAGGGTCTCCTACCTAGATTTCTGAGCAAACTCATCTTACACTTATTTACTTAAGCTGCTGGTTCAACAAACACACAAGAAGACAAATCCAAACGCTATCCTATGGTTGACTTCTTAATGCTATATTGAAACAACACATTTGGCTGGAATCTAAATAGCTCCTTTAGTCAGACCCAAAGCCTCTGTGACACAAAGGAACTTTTCAATTTTTCTGTTTTAGACCAGTCATCTCCAATGTCAGAGTGCAAACACTGTTTGAGATCACTGGGAAAGGCCAGATGACTTTCTTGACATAGGAAGGTAATTATCTGGTTCCCTGGATTGTGTCTACATACTTGTACTTTGTTGTTATATACCTACTGGTCTCCAACATATTTAGAGAGAAGCACCTACTGTAGTTTCCCCTTCCTGATCCCTGTTGCCTCATTCTTCACATGGAGAGTGATGTGCCTACAAATGGTTGGTTCCTACTGACATGTAGACTCTCCATATAAGCAAGAACCCTGGAAAACTGCGGTTGTTGCTTACATTAAGAGCCTGTATGTGAGCAGGATCCTCTCCTCTGCAGGCATCTTGTTCTCCATGTGGAGAAAAAGGCAACTGAGATGGGGTGGTGGTGGGACTAGGTGCTTCCCTTTATGCAGGCAACAGAAAACTAGGTAAGTAATGACTGACTAGAGTGTATGCCTTAAAAAACCTAAATTCAGAGTTCAGTAGAGTATATGAATGTACCTTTCAGCAGGAAACAGTCCAGAACCTTTCTAGAAAGCACTTATGTTTTCATTATTTACATCAGTCGTTCATACAAATACTTTGGAAAAATCTTATTCTAACTGAGTCTTTGAGAAAGTATCATCAAAAGCCAACTGTCATATGAATCAATGTTACACAGAAAGCAAACTCCAGATAGTCTGATTTTGACAGCAGAATAAAAAAAAAAAAAAGAAAAGTTGCAATTGCCTACTAATACTCCAGGATCTGCTAAATCTCAGGGTACTGTCTTATGACATTAAACAATTTATGTCAGCTATCTCTCTGCTTGATTGTTAAGGCTCTTTCATGTCTAGGCTAAACCATATTAGAACATCTGAAATTTCTGACAAAAAATTGGGCTTTCTCTGCATCAAATTTGTCATTGTATTAGTGTTTGTTTTATAAAAGAAATGCGCACCTGAATTGTTCTGTCTCTACTGGAACATTCCTGAACTCTCTGAAGTGTATATGGCATAAGAAAATAAACCTGTTCTGAGTGGAATATATTTGATTTAATTCTCCTCTTATATTTGGAAAGAAAGTGGCATGAGGAGTTTACCAAATCTTCCATCCCTACCTGGCCTTTTGCTACTTGCCCAATCAACCTTATTTCAAAGGTGAAGTCTGTGGGTTATTATTTCTCCTCTCACCCCCCACCCCCAATCCTCAAGCAAATTATATTTGGGAAAATATATCTGTGAAAATTCTCAGTCATCCAACCCCCACCCCCACTCCTCCAACAAATTATATTTGGGAAAAAATATCTGTGAAAATTCTCAGGCATCCAGGTGAGGCTATCTGGAAGTTGAGTTATGGCAACTGGACTTCTTTCTTGTTAAATACTGAAAAGTTTCGCTACTCATCCAAGTAGTTTCTTCAGTCTGAGGAGAGTTAGCTGGTAGGAGATCCCTGATATATCTTCAACGTTGGTTTCACTTTCCCCTGGTCTGAATAGGCTCATTAGAAGGACAAAGGACTTCAGTCTCCTCAGACTGAAGAAGCTACTTGGCTGAGTGGCGAAACGTTTCAACTTAACAAGAAAGAAGTCCGGTTCAGTGTCCTCAGACTGAAGAAGCTACTTGGCTGAGTGGCGAAACGTTTCAACTTAACAAGAAAGAAGTCCAGTTGCCATTACCAAACTTCCAGATATACTTGGGAAAACTGCACAATTTCACCAGGATGTTCATTAGGGGAGAAGAAAAGATGGGCCATGAACATTCATTCTGGCTGATGTTGGGAGAGGAAGATTAGTGCACTCGGATAAAGCTTGTATTGCCACCAGCAACATAAGGTTTGTCTTGGAACAGGAAACTGAGCGTTCCTCTCTCCATCCCAGAGCTGGTATGAGTAATCCTAAAACTAAAGTTGATACTAGAAAATGGTTCCAGGGTTGATGGCTAATCACAAAAATAGAAGAAGTGGAAAGAAACAGGAAGGTTAACAAAGCCTAAAGAAGAAGAGTGGAGTGAAATGGGGGATAATGCAAAAAAACAGAGTGTAGTAATATATCTGTGAAGATTCTCAGTCATCCAGGTGAGGTTATCTGGAAGTTGAGTCATGGAAACTGGACTTCTTTCTTATTAGGTTGAAACGTTTTGCTACTCATCCAAGTAAACATTTCAGCTTAATAAGAAAGAAGTCCAGTTGCAATGACTCAACTTCCGGAGAGTGTAGTAGTGTCTTCTACAGCAGAGGTCATCAATCCCGGTCCGTGGCCCATTGCCGGTCCGTGGCCTAAGCCCGACCGGGCCGCCAAGACAGACCTCCCCCCGCACTCACCACCGCAAAGGTTATTTGCTCCTGCGCACATGCTTGTGCGCCTGCACAAACGGTGGCGCGGTCTCCAGGAGCCCGGCTGGAAAGCTAGCAGCGCAGAGGGACCCAGTGGCTGAAGACAGGAGTCTAGGAAATTCAAATGGCCTCCCCACAGGGCTCTGTGTCCCGCCGCAGGGTCCCTCCATGCTGCTGGCTTTTCAGCCTGGGTGCGAGGCGAGAGGGTGGCGGGGGGGGGGCGGGGGGGGGGGGGGAGGCAGGCTCACAAGGGAGAGCTGGCAGGCTGTCAGGGCTGTGG